CTCAAAGGAGATTTCAGTTGGTAGTACTTGGCAGGCAATTCAGCTGTAGAAGCTGTCTTCTAGATTGCAGTAATGAATGTGTGTAGCTTGACATTAGGAATTGCTCAGATTTTCAAGCTCAGAACTTGTAACTGCACAGTTGGAAAAATAGTTGCAGCTATCCCACTGCCCATATGCTTGGCATCTGCATTTGTGTATTGTCTAGAAATAAACATATGGGTCTGCAATTTTGTAAACAGCATTTGATTTTTGGAAGCAGATGGATGTGGGTGAAGTATTGGCATTCAGGTATCAATCTTACGTCAGCTGCACCTGTGAGTGCAGCTAGGGGCTCTAGCAGGGACATCTGACAGGGATCCTGGAAACACCTCAGTTTGTCTTGCCTGGTCTGTAGGTAAGGCTGTGCAGTTGGAATAGACTGAATTTCTGGTAAGAAAGGTGTTTTATTAGGTGGCTGAAGAAAATTTAGCCAGAACTGAGCAGAAGCACACTGATACCAACGGGAGGCTGCACCCACAGCGGAGACTCAGGCATGATGACCAGGACCGGGTGAAGCACTACAGAGAGATTGTCAAGCTCCTGCATGACAACAGGGTGAAAGAAGCTGAACTGCTGAAGGCCATGAGGGAGACAGAATCAAAAAAGGTATTTGCATAATTTCTTTTTCTAAGTGGGCCTGGCAAAAATGTAACCGCCTGTAACAGGGAGTGCAGAAAGCTGAAATGTTTTGTTAGAATTCTCCTTTTCTGTTTTGACTGGGAGTTTCTGGAAGCATAAGTGAACTGGTAAGGATGTTTTAGCCTTAGGAAAGCAATTCCTATTTCTGTAAGTTCCTTTCATTTTTATTCTCTGACCCAATACTTCTACCTTTCTCCAGATGTTTGAATGAGACATTTTTCAAAATGAAACCTTCACACAGCTGACTACCATATTTTGATTTTAGGGTGAAGTGTAATTAGTGATAATCCATATGGTTCTATTTGTTGGTTTTTCCTTGCAACACATCTGTTGAAGACATTTAATATCTCTGTTACACAGCAGGAAGACGTTGTACAGAATAAAGCTCAACTGGGGAAAGAGCAGAAGGCGGCTGCTGCAGATGGGCACAGGAAGCAGTTCTTAGATGACAAAATGAATGATGAGTTAGAATTGGCTGAGAAGCTGCAGAGGGAAGATGGCTGTTTTGGTGAGCATGTAGATAACACAGTTCCGTGTGGATGTTGGCATGAAGCATTCAATGACTGAATACAAATGAACTGTCCAATATTGGGGATAAACTTAAGCATAACTCCTTTACTAAGCACTCCATAAGTGCTTTTTGGCAATATTCTTTCATTAAACAGATATATCTGTTTTCCAAAGCCAGACTTAGAAAGAAAGCTCAGTTTGATACCTACCAAATGCAGCAATATAAATGGCATTTTGGTAGGAGCACAGGTCTAGCTCATCTTAAAACAATTGTAAAATCGTATCCGTTAGAAATTTTCTGTCAAATAATGTTGTCCGGTGACATACAGTATTATACCAAGAAGTGGTATAATATTGACATACAGTATTATACCAGTAAGTGCTTTTATACCAGTAAGTTTGTTAAAAAAAAACCCAACCAAACAAACCCCAACACATTTATGTGCTTCCAGAATTGGTCAGTACATCTTCTCAAGTGCTGCATTTGTGTGTTTTTGCAGGTATTTCTCCTACCCCCCCACCATGCTTCCAAGGCTTACATAACATTAATGATTAATATTAGGGTTAGATGATTAGTATTGCTTTGGGCAAACTTTTTCAGCCTTTGTCCTTATTTACCTAATGTTTTAGTATGGTATATTTTGCAACTGTGCATAATTAAAGTGGGTGGCTCCTAAAACTACAAGCATGAGTAGCCATATTCCATATGATCTTAGTGGCCTGTTTGTCAGAAGATTAATTATACAGGAAGAAACAGCACATGTAATTTCTTAAAGAGCTGCAATTTCTTAAAGGGAATTTTAAGAAATTAATGAAATTACAGAGCTGTAATTCCTTAAAATGAAATGCTGTGATGCATAGCTGTGACCCGAAGAGGAGAAACATTGACCTCTAATTCTGAGCAAATTGTACTTGCCATTAACTGGAGTGGGTGATTGTTCTACCTTTGCTTCCTGGAGAAAAACTGTTTTACCTCCAGCTAGAAAAATTCACTAGAAACTTCAATATTTTTAAGTTACAAAGAACCCTTCTTTCCATTTGCCACAGAGAGACTGCGCGATGTAAAGGCCAGGTGTACAGAGAGGGGGGTAGAAGTCCAGCAGAGGCCAAGGTCTGGAAGCATCTGTCTCAATGATTTGTCTACATTAGCATCATCACCACACAGTAAGTGTTTAAGTTAGAAGTCTCTTTCACATTTAGTTTCAGAGCATTGCTGGAACACCCAGCTGTGGGATTGAGTCATTAGTTGTGTAGGTGTTTAGTAGATAGTAAACCAGTTTATTGTTGTGTTCTCTTTCACACCTGCAGAAAATGTCTTTGCTTCCAGGGGCGGTGCAGGTAAGAAGTGCCTGAAGTGTGTCACATTATGAGAGTGGTCCTAGTAAACCTCAGCCTAGTTTAATTGCATTCTGACCTGATCATATTGCACATGTTTTTCCTGTCTTCATAGCTGTTTATGATTTGGGAATGTTGAGAGGCTGTAGAGCTGTCTTTCATCAAAATCTGACTGGGAGTTATAGTCAAGAATAAGTCTAATTTCCTCTAGTCTGTCCTAGCTACTCTGGCAGTGAAAGCAGTTTAAATTCCAGTGCACCTTATGTACAAAAGTCTGCAAGCAATGGGAACCTCTGGGCCTGCTGTAGCCCCCATTAGCATCTGACCTGGTAGCCAACAGAGGCACTGCTTTCAAAGAACTTGCTCCTACCAGTCTGAGGGCTGTCTCACATCCAGTGGTACTGAAAACCAGCATTTCTCTGCCAGAAATGTCTGGTTTCCAACAGGTATTTGTAGTGTTTATGGAAAACCACTGGTTGCAGTGTTAAGTTTCTTGCACTTCATTGTCTTTAGCCAGGAGACGAGCAGAACTGGCACGCCAGGAGCGGGAGCTGATGGCAGAAGTCTGGCGGCTCAGACGAAGGCTCACCTCACGGGCCCAAGCCAGGCACCCTCCAGCTCGTTCCCCAGCTACAACGTGGTCACCTTGAGATGATTTGCTCTGCACCTTAGCTGCACTTTCAAATTATTAATCAGTGAAAAGCTAAATATGTATAGTGTGATTCAGGATGGACCATAGACTTATTAAAGGCTTTTGGAGATATTTTTATGTAAGAATAAAATCCTAGCTAGAAAATATGTCTTTTGTTTGTAACCTTCTTGTTATTTTTTACTTCTAAAATAAACTCATTTTTTACCATCAAGTTACTGAGTGTGCAGTATTTGTATACTTCTGGTGGCTGCCCTGACTTGAAGAAACAAATCACTGTTAAAAATGTTGGTTTTGTCAGTGATGTGGAAGTGGATTCTACAAGTTGCAGCAGGGAAATTTGCAATCAGAGAAAAGAATCCTTTCCAGCAAGAGCCAAACATTGAAACCAAGGCCAGAGAGGGTGTGGAGCACCTGCTGGAGAGGCATGTAGTTGTTACACATATTAGCAAGTTCATTTCATGAGAAAGAACGGGAGAGAGGATCTAAACAAATCCTCTAGCACTACCTTGCTCTTTGTAGTGCTTGTGGTACTGATGGCTAATGCTTTTGACCCAAGTCAAGAACATTATGTGGTGTTACAGTAAAAAGGAATAGGGCAAAGTAAATTAAAGTGAATCATCCATAATTGCTACACATAGTGCTGATACAGGGGTAGACTTGGCCCTGTGAAAATATGAGGACTGGGATCTTAATTTGTTCTGCTTCCCCTGGGGTTTTGCTGATGCTCTTTGGGGCAGCAGTATGGGAGCAGCACTGCTCGTGCTGGCCCTGGGGGCTGAGGCACCGAGCAGACCCAGGATGATACCTCTAACCAGCAGCTTTCTGTCACCTGGGGCAGGGAACAGCCTCTCTGCTTCTCGTTAAATTACATGAAAACCTAACAGCACAAAGGTACTTGGTTCTTGCCTTAACATCCTCTGCATCTGGAAGTAGAAAGCGTCACATTAGCAGCAACCAGGATCCATGGAAATCTCATGCAGCCCTCAGCAGAGTGTGGAGAAGAGGCATCATTCCTTTTCAAAGGGAGAAAAATGCAACAAGCCAGAATCATCTCGGAGGCAGAGGGAGTAGATGAGAAAAATTGTATTTTTCTGATGATTGTCTTGGAGTTGACATACAATCATTTTGGATATTTAAAGGGAAATAATAAACCCACTGAGGTTTTGGCCTGTACCATGGGCTATATGTGTATGTGCTTATGGTTTGTAAAAGCTGCCCCTGAGCACAGCCTGACGCCAGGTGTGCCCACTGCCACCGCAGGAGCCATTCCCAGTCCCCACATCGCTGCACGGGTTCGCAGACAGCGCAGGGGCTGAAAATCTTTGCTAAAACCTACAACAATCGCAGAAGTTATTCCCGGGAGCCCAGCACCGGCAGAAAAGTGCTCTTGACCTGGAGCAGCCGCTTTGGAAATCACGACAAGCACGGCTCGGACATCACCGAGCGGCTCGGGGCGCGGTGCCGCGCGAGTCTGTCGCCGCTAAAAGGGCGGGGGAGGCGGCCGAGAGCAAAAGTGCTGCCCGCCTTTGCCCCGTGTGAGGATCGAACTCACGACCTTCAGATTATGAGACTGACGCGCTACCTACTGCGCTAACGAGGCGGCTGAGACAGATTCGTCCGTGAGGGCTCTCGGTCCTGCCGGCGGCCTCGCTCCCCGCCGGGGCCACGGGAGGACATGACATGGCCCGGCCCGGCCCGGCCCCTCGTCCGCCCACACCGCTCCGACCGGGCCGGGTCCTGTGCTGGCCGTGCGGGAACACGGAGTGATCATGTGGAGTGACAGCGGGGTTTCGCTAGGGTGACAGTGTGAGGCACCATAGTATAACCTGTGAGGAGCCCCGCCGTGCTCATGTGGGGGACCAGGGTGACCCTGAGGGACACCGGAGTGACCATGAGAGATCCCGGCCGAGGAGGGGAGGGCCGTCCCTGGCCCCGACCGGCATTGGCAGGGTGAAAAAGTCCTGCATGTCAGGGTAATTAGATGGCATCATTTTCGGCCTAATTGCTCGGAACAGGTCAGGAGATAATTAGTGACTTTCGGCCGCGTCTGGCAGCTGCGGGCGGATGTTGGGGGCGGAGGGAGGGTCGGGGTAGGTTTTAAAATCACCCCAGAAGCTCAGGACGGCCCCGCCACCGCCCCTCCTCGGCCCCACGTGGTCGCTCCGGGAGTAATATCCGAGCAATTTCATACTCTTCTGTGTTTCTTACATCTTTGTCTCATCTTTACGTGTGATTTTTTTTCTTCCTCCCACCCCACAGGGCACCTGACATAGCCCCAGAATCTGTGAAGCTGCCCTGAAAAACTGTCCCTGAAGACACCCGTGCTCCCGAGGCCGGGGCGGCGGGACCCTCTCTCTGCGCACACCCGGCCTCAGCAGCCCTCACAAGAGCCCAGGCCGGCACATCCCCTCGCTCCCGCGCTCCCTCTGGAGCCGTGGCACAGCCGTGGCACGGACACAGCGCTGCCGGGGCGAGGGCCAGCCCCCCCGCGTGAGGGAAGTGTGTCACACGTGGCGCTGCAGCCAGGCACGCACACAGGTATGGACACCTCGGGCAGGCGCTCCCGCCCCGCCTCTCCTCGGTCGGACCGGCCGGCCCGGCTGCCCCCGGGCTCTGGCCTGTCACCCCGCTGCAACCCGCGCCTCCATCCACCTAATGACACAGCAGAGACCTGCCACGGGGGCAACGTGACTCCAGCAGCTGCAGCCTGGGAAGAAAAAAAAAAAAAAAAAAAGGAAAAAATGTGCACAATCAAGTGATGAGTGTTTGTATTTCTCATGCTTTGAGGCCAGCTCACAACCCTCCCTCCACGTAATATTCAGGATGTTTGGGAAGGGGTATTTTACTTTTAATAGGATGGCGTAGTCACAAAGCTTTAAAGAAATAAGTGAGTGAATCGTCTATGGTAATAGCAACATACTCCGGACGGGGCACAGTGACGAGCTTCACATCTATTTTTAAGCCTGCCTGGCAGCATGTAGGTGCAGAACAGAGCCCATGACCCTTTCTGCTGTTCTGAACCCATGGACATGGCTGCTGTCTCTGTTCCAGTTCACCATCAGAGCTGTTTTTTCTCCCTAACGAATACTATGGGAAGATAGAGATGCCTCAAGCTGTTTTGAAGATTGTGCAATGATGCTTGGGAGCCTACCTGCTTTTGCTTGAGTGCTTTCCTCACTCATATTTCACAGGATGCGACAGGAAGGGAAATACAATCGAATCCGACGGCCGTGGTAAATTTGACTCGAATCCTTCGTATGCCCTGGGGCTGAGGTGGGTGCCTCTCAGATAAGCAATCTAATCAGCTTTGCGTTTGTGTCCCATCTGGAAACAGATTGTTGCCGGAGTACACCAGCACCTGAGAAGCAAGCGTCAGGTTCGTTTTGAAGATAATTGTACAGACAAATTCAGGGAGTGTGAATTTGCCTGTGGTAATAAGATCTCTTTATTTTTATTCATAGTTAATTCGTTCAGCCGAGGCGATTTCATGCCAGAATGCAGTCCTCAAACAAGAAGGACGATTGCACTGCCTGTGGCACGCATATGCATGGTGCCTGCCCGGCAGATCGGCTGCTGCGACAAAGAGCCATGAACCACCCCAGACATATGGGCAAGATAAGGAAGAGGCTGGAGGATATCAAGAACCAGTCCCCGAAGTTGACAAAAGTGGACTTCAGCCACAACGAAAGCATAAGATTGGCCACCGACGCCTTCTTGGATGGTGGGACAGACTCTTACCTCCAAACTCTAAGCAAAGAGGGTGAGGTGGATTTCCTCTCCTCGGTGGAAGCTCAGTACATCAAGGATAACGCCAGGGAGTCTTATTATGCACAGGAGTCCCCAGGTGCAGACGGGGCAGCCGCGCCAAAGCAGAACGACGCCGGGTCACTGCCTTCGGGGACCTACTTCCCCACCATTTCTGACAGCAGTGAGCCGGCTCTGCTCCACACATGGATTACAGCAGAGAAGCCCTATTTAAAGGAAAAATCTACCGCCACTGTGTATTTCCAAACAGAGAAGAACAGCAACATTAGAGACATCATACGCCGGTACATCCACAAGACCACTCAGGTATGAGGAGAGAATTGTCTTTCCCTTTGCTCTCAGTTGTTTCTTGCTCTTACAAACTCAGGTGAACATGGTGTTTAATCCAAGGCAGCCCTGTGCATTGCAGTGTAGCTTTGCTCTATAAAGTGCCTGTGAAGAGCTTGTTGTTGAACACAGGCAGTGCTTTTTAAATATTTTTTTTAACTCACACCAAGATTTTTTTATGTTGGTGGCTTAAAAAAAGTATTCCCTCTCCTCTGTTGTAACCTCCCATTTGCTCAGTGGATTAAATGTGCTGCAGAAAGGGCAGCTTGGCTCTGTCCCTTCTCATGTACCCTCACCCCAGCAGGATGGTTTTACCTGTTCAGACCACTGCACCATTAATGAGAATTAAACCTAAGTGAGCTCTCGGCCATTAGGAATTGTTCGAGAGGATTTGTGGGAGATGTGGGTGAAGGGGAGGCCAAAGAAAGGCATATATGTCTGGTATGTCAGCAGCCATCCCCAAAGGAAGGAAATTATCCAGAAAATAGACATTTCATCCCTAATATGTTGCCTATATCAGTTAAAATGTCATGTGGGCTCCATACGGAGACTGCAGCATAACTTGGCACGTGGGAAAGGTGCAGATGATGCCTCTGACTACATACAGGTGGTGGCGGCCACAGAGGTGCCAGCCACAAGCCAAAGCCAGGCTGCCCACACTCTGGGGAACCAGGAACTGAGCAGCTGGAGCAGGGACCGAAAACTGATGGCATGTGTGTTCTAGCAGCTCTCTTATTTTCCTGGGGAAAAAAAAAAATTGACACTTCAGGGCTGTGTTTACCATCATCCAGGAGTTTTACCCTTATATAAAGTCAAAAGAGCAGCAGCAGTTTCACCCAGGAATGGTCAGGAGCCAAGGCAGGATGCAATAGTGCTGCCCAGACTTCCGAGCCCTCTGGATTCCTTCCACTTTGTTATTCCCCTGCAAGGGCAGGTGCTGGCCCTGATAACACAGACTGTAATGGCAGGGGAGAAGGATCCCCGTTGGCAACTGCTCTCTCAAAGCCTGCAAGTGCTTACCACACCAGCTGAATTAGAGATCAGTCCTTTTAAGTTGGAGGCATCAGAAAGATGCAGAAACAGAAAAAATGTCTCTGGAATAATAGGAAATCAGGTAAATAGGCATCAGGTAAAATATCAACCCAGACCAATTTTCTGTCCCAAGAAGAGAAAACTTGTGGGCAAAAAGTTGGGAAATGTAATATAAACCCATGGTTCACATGACCTTCTTAATAACCTAATTTACATTACGAGAGTGTGCTGAAGTGACACTAACAGTGTCACTTCAATAAATTTGTGAACTGCTTTTTGAGCATAGTTTTCCAATGACACCAGTTATTAATTATCATCTGGTAAGGGTCCATCCTGGATAGCCTGGTATTTGATATATGCATTAAAAAATTAAATAACAGAATAAAGACTGTGTTTATGGATGATCTCAAACTGCAAAGGATTAGCAAGGGATGCTACAATTTTAACACATTTGTGGAATTAGTGCAAATCACAAAATGGAATTCAGGCAGAAGAAATGAGGAGTACTGCAAGTAAGAGAGAAAAGTCATATGCAGAAATGTAAATTGGGAACAGGTGGTAAAGAGCAGTACCAGAGAGAATAGTTTGGAGCTGGGGCATTAACAGGAAGTGTAGATGTGAGATATTTGACATAATTGTGCTTACCAAGCCATGGCAAAGCTCTTTCTGAAGCACCAGGCTTTGGCAACAGGAGGAAGGTGTGGGATCCTCACTGCTCCACAAATAGTTTGGCAGCACAAAGAGGATGATGGCTGCACAGGATATGCCTGGTCTTGTAGGATATCCTCATGGTGGCAAGGGGAATAAGGTTCCTGTTAGGTGCGGGCATAGGCTTTGGAGTAAGATTCAGAACAAGCTGGAAGCAATTAGTAAGAGAGATCTACAGAGATGCTGTAAAGTTTGTTTTGATTGAAGGTGATATCCCATGAGCACAGTTACCAAAGTTCCCTCTCCAGTCAGTAGAGAAACCAGCACCTCCTGAAGATAAGTCAGGTAATAGCTGGGCTGAATTGACCCTTTCCATGGGCAATAGCAGACATCAGACAAGACCAGCACTTTCTACTATGGAACTGGTTTTGTATCACATTTACAGTTCCCTTGATCCACACTGGCTGCAAGCTGTGCATTTAAACAATTGTCAGGGCTTTTATGCCCAGTCCTGAGACTTTTACAGTATTCTGCCAGTTGTGAGTTGGGGAGCATGGATGTGTGATCAAAGTCTAACAGTTAGTTTATAAATCAGTGTTTTAAAAAATATGGAGCTGTTGGAGTCTATCACCCCACCAACAAGAACAGGGTGAGGCTTTTTAAAGCCAGGGCTGTCCAGGTGTAAATCATAAAAGAGAAAGCATCATCCAGGGATTCTTGCTGAATGTGTGTGGCTTATGACACCCAGTGAGCCGTGTGGAAAGGGCTATGGTCTTTTATTTAGCCACATTCTTATCATCCTCTGGTAAGTATTTCAATGTATTTCCTAGTGCTGAAATCTCACCTACAAATTCATATGTCATCTTGTCATATGTTGTGTGTTACATTGGCTTTAGATGAGGAATAAAACAATGAGGCAATATGTTTAATCAGTTTAATGATTCAGGCACTTATAGGGAGAAAAACTATATTGTGTTATATTGGCTTTAGATGAGGAATAAAAACAATGAGGCAATGTGTTTAATCAGTTTAATGATTCAGGCACTTATAGGGAGAAAAACAGAAAAAAAATATGCACATATAACTAAATATTTGTGGTTATTGGAATATTTTTTTTAAACAAACAAACTACACCACAGTATCCTCATAGCAACCTTAAATGATGTAAATTGACTCTGCTAATGCCTGTGCTCTCTTTCTGAAGGTGTTAGCCATTGTGATGGATGTGTTCACAGACACTGAGATTCTCTGTGACCTCCTGGAGGCAGCAAACAAGCGCATGGTCTTTGTCTACCTGCTGCTCGATCACAGCAGTATAGATCTTTTCTCGGAGATGTGCGACAAGCTGCAGATTTCTGAGGATCTCTTCAAGGTACCGTGGCTCTGTGAAGCTTTTAGGCTGAGAGTTGTCTGCCAAACTGCAGGCACTCTGAGCTAGAAGCATGGTTATGCTAGGGTCAGTCCACCTTCTAATTAAAAGGGTGCAAGAGATTTCCTGGGGTAGTGTTAGCACACCCAGTTCCTCTTTGAAGATGCCTATGTTTTCCCATGGATATTATAGAAAGGTAAGGCATTTCCATTAGGTTCCCAGATGAAAGTTATCTTGGCCCTGAAGTCTTAAAACCGGACTTAGATTTCCCTAGTAGAGTTATCTAACATAGGCATTAGAGCTGCTTCTGTTTAATAGCTCTGCAGCAGCTGTGGTCTGGCAGCCACAGGGAGAAGGTGCACAAAACTCTTTTGCATAGCCGTAGCTTGGTTGCACTGGGTGGTTTCTGATAAAATGTGTTAAAGCTCTTTTAAAATTTTAACACATTTCTGATAAAATGTGCTAAAAGCTCTCAAATTTAGGTGGCTGTTAGTTTAATCTGCCTTCATCTCTGTCAGAAGTAGCTGCCTTTAAAAGAACACCTCCTAGGGATTATTTCAGTTTTGCTTGAGATGCTGTAGAGCTCCTATGGCATCTCCCTGGGGATGGGTGATACTGCAGAGGCCACAGATCTCTGGAATGGCAGCTGTGGGCACACAGGAGACCTGAGGGCATCTTACACATACACCAGACACCTGGTTTTCAACAGCTGAATTCCATCCCAAATATATAAAGAAGCTGAAATTAATAATGCATGTTCATAAGTGTTTGCATGCCTGTAAACCCTCACTCCTAAGGAGAGTGTGTTCTTGCACGTGTGTCCTTGCAGGCCTAGATGGATTGGAGGAGCAGAGGTTTTGCCCTGCTCTGTCATGGCACAGGCAGTGTAAATCAAAGGAATATACAGCTACAGCAGATTGTGCCTGGGCTGTCAGTGGAAGGCAGCAGGCTGCTCCCAGCTATGGACACATCTGTGTTCCTTTTGGCTGGGTAGGGTCACTTACTGTCACACAGCTCAGCTCCACCTGCATGAGCTTCCACACAGGTTTATATCCCCAGTGAAACAAGGAACCCCTGCCAAGTGAGAGACCTTGTCTTCTGGACACAGACCTTCAAATATCACATCAGAGAGTCCATAAAGAAATTTGACTTTTGGGCAGTGAAGAGCTAAAGGCAGTGGGGAAAAGGGCCCTCCCTGTCTGATTTTTATTAAAAAGACATGTAATTCACTCAGTTTTATTTTTATTTACAGAATATTTCAGTCCGCAGTGTTACTGGAGAGGTTTACTGTGCCAAGTCAGGCAGGAAATTTTCAGGACAAATTCAAGAAAAATTTCTGATCTGTGACTGGAGATACGTGCTTTCTGGATCTTACAGGTGAGATAAGCTATTGCACTTCATCTCTAGGTACTCTTTTATGATTTTTAATACTTCTGCCCAAGAAAAGTGCCATGGAAATCTTTGTAAGGTAAGAAACTTTTGTTTAACAAAAATCACCTCATGTTTTCAAATATGTGCCATTTTTCAAAAATCTACTTAACTTGCTTTAAAGCTGCTCTTAGTTCTTTATGGAGCATGGGTTTTAATTTAAATGTTCAGAAACTAATGTAAACAACTTTGCCAGTGCAGCCCTGGGGCAAAGCTAGAAATGTGTACAGCTTAATATGCTTTCCTCATTGTTAAGGTTCTCAAGTGTTGTGATCATGAGGCATGATACATTTCTGTCTCCCTCGGGATCCCTTAATGCAGCATATGTCACTCAGCTTATCTGAGGATTTGTTCTTCATATGACAAATGTAGTGATTAAAAGTAAAACAGAAATACTTCAGAGACTTACTGTTTTTCTGTGTGTTTTAGTAACAGGTAGCCAGTATATATCTATATATCTATAACTACTGTACCTTTGTTTTCCCCCTTTTTTAAAATTTTGTTTGTTTGTTTTGTTGTGCTGCTATAATTATTTCAGGTAGTGGATATAGCATCTCAACAACTGGATTTTTAAGTAAGATCCTAGATCCTCTGGTCAGGGAATTTCAGGAGACTGAGCTTGCATCAAATAAATGAAGTTTCTGAGCATCATGGCTACATAGATAGGTTTCACAAATGACCAAGTGTATCCTAGAAATCCAGGTACAAAAATACAAGAGGTGATTATTTAATTTAAAGGATTATTTAATTTTCTTAATCCCAGTTTACAATTTGGAAGCTTAAATGCCTCTGGTCTGATAAAACTGTGCCACCAGGAAGTTTACAGAACTACAGTAACGAAGGAAAAAGTGAATTTCTGGGGATGGGCTGCAGGAGCTCAGATGTACACTAACACAGGCACCCACTTTTCATTCCATTTCCAAATTAACCACCAGACAAAACTTAGTGGACACTCAGGGTTGGGGTTTTTTTATTGACTGTTCTTTTATTTTCTTGTTACTTTGGGTGGTTTTAATCCCTGGTCAAAGATGTGTTAAATCCAACAAAGGACTCATATAGAGTAGAAGTGAAGGATGTGTGGGGAGGAGGACAGAACAAGATCTATTTTCTTTGACCAAGAAGCTTCCTTTTGGCTTCTCTTTCAATACCAAAAACACTAAAAACACCTGAAGTCCTGTGCAGTCACTTCTGTCTACTGCTGTTGAATATCTTCTAATCTCAAGTACCTTGCCAAACTATGTAATTCCGTATCTAGCACACAAACAGAGAGGGTGGTGAGGAACAAATGTATTTAAAACTATTAAAAACTATTTAACTTCAGCACATCCAGCACCAGTTTGCAGTTCACATGGGTTATAGCTGGCTACCAGAATGTGGCATTTCTTGCTAGCTCTCACTTTATTAACCTGAAAGATTTTTGTTATGCTTAAGTCTTATCCAGCAGCCTCTTTAGGTATAAACAAGAATGATGTTGAGTGAAACAGACTAAAGCTCTTCTGCAATTCATTTGTTGGAGATCAAATTGGAGAATATCTTAAAACTGATACAAAGATTTTAAAATACAATACCAAATTTCACCAAAGTGCTGAGCTCTGCGTGATAGTTGTAATAGTGGTGGGGGGGAACAGGCTGAGGAAATAAAATAGCCCTTCAGGACATACTGTCAATTTTTATTGCCAGTGTCTGTGGTGAGGGGTTAGAATGCAGTATTTCTTTTTGCTGTCTGTGTCACTCTACCTCATCCTATGGTAACGGTTATTCCATTTTTTTAATGACTTTGAAATTAGATAGTGCATGAACTCAGCCTTCCTAAAGAAGGCAAAATGAAAACAGCAGAAAGCACAGACCTTGATCCCCAGGGGCAGCTGAGTATCTCCCTGGCTGCCACCCTGAAAGCCACTGGCCTCTTCAGAGTCAGCGCCTAACAGCTAACACGGACATGCTTTGCCAGGAGTATCACTTCAGGTGGAGCAGGTTTCTCCCACACAGGTTATCCACCAGCAGGCAACACTAACATCCAGAGTAACCCAAACCTGAGCCCAGCTGAAAACCCCAGTCCGTCCTTCCTTCCTTCCATTTCAGATTCCATGGGTGTTGTGCTGCACGTTGCTGCAGCACTGTGAACACAGGGATGAGAACATCCCTACTGAACTGCAGCTCCAGCAGTGCAGAGACGACACCCATTATAAAACAAGTCCAGTGCTGAACAGAAGAGGTGGGATTTGATTGAGAACATCATAAAGGAGAGGGTCTGTAACAGGACATAGGACAAAGTCCTGGAAAGATGGCTGAGCAGTATCTGTCTGTGACTGAATGTATGATACAGCGTTGGCCCCAAGCCAGGCATCATTTCTTTGTGCTTTCTCTTCTTTTGATGGGCCTCACCAAAAAAAACGTGGGAGAAAAGTGATCCCTCTGGGCAAGTGGTGACAATAACAGTCTTCTCTGAGCCTGTCCCAAGAGAGCACTCAGAATTGTAAACTAAGGAGCAAAACAAGGCCTAAAACCTAAACAATGCATTTTCTCTTAGAATTAAGCCAATGAAATCTTTTATGCCAAGCTCTGTTTTGTTCCCCAGCAAAGTACACAGACTGTAAATTGCTGTGACTCACTACACAACAAGTCCACAAGTGTTTGTCTATAATCACAAAGATCTTACCTTGTAACTTTGAGCTGACCCATTTGCCATTGGTTCTTGGAGAATCTCTGGGCTATTCATTTGATCTTTCTGTTTACAGGGGTTACAGGTAAAATCAATGACCCACAAACCAGTATCTGTCTGTCAGGTACTCCAGGAAGATACATATGGGAGTAAATTATCAAAATTGGGCAGAACAGATTTTTTTCCTCTGATTCTGTTATGCTTTTAACAGCCATTTACAAGTGTAATTGATTTATATTTCTGTGTAAATTTTCTTTTATAAACTAGGTCTATCTCTAGCACATAAAGTATAAGCACGATACTTCAGACCTCAGCCCTTTCATGATTTTTTAACCTTCAGTATAGATATCCTAGAAAAATTGTGTGCATTTTTGTATTTATTTCTGATCTATTGTCTCTTTAACAGGGCATGCAGAGGTTTAGAGAGCACTGCTCAGTGAGTAAAGGCAATGTTGAGCTGGCATGGCAGGTGTTACACACCCAGCAGGGAGTTAGCTTGCTCTTTACCTGGCTCCCAAGATTTTGCCATATTTAGAATGATTTGAACACAGTGGATGAGAAGTACATGAATTTTGGTAACTTACTATGTGTTTTCATGTCCAGTCATAAAATGCACAGTATAAATTGTATGGGTGGCATTGAACTACTGATTTCTTCACTCCTCCCCCTGCTCCTGAAGCAACAGTATAAAATCACTGTATACCTCAAACCCAACCCTCTTCAGGAATGCTCTGGACAAGCAGATGTAAATTGTCTGTCTTACTGCCTCAGATTCAGCTCAGGCTGTCAGTCCCACTGAGCTTCACAAGAGTTTTATCAAAACGTGACAAGATTTTAAGTGCACACACCTACAGCCAAATCTGGCTCTCAGCAGCCCTTGTGCAAATCCAGCATAGCTAATAAAGTCACACAGGAATAACCATGGCAGAGTTTTGCCAATACAGAATAATCTCAGGTTCAAATCCACCACTGCTCTGTATCCTCTGCTGCACAGCTCAAGCCCTGGTCAGTTCAGGGAGTAACTACATTTCATTCTCTCAACTATGCTCATTTTATTGGTGCTGCAGCTGCTCAGACATGGCAGCCTGCGCAACACAATCAAGCTGTCTTGTGGTTTTATAAAAGCACAAATTTATGTTTGCTGAGTGGATTAGGGAAGCACATAAAAGGAAAATAATTTAAAAGTTGTGGGTTATCCCCAAGGTGTGTCTCTGAGCTACCAGAATTAAAACTGTTGTGGTGTTTCTCCCTTACTTTATAGCAAAGTATTACATTTATTTTTGGAAATGCTGTAGGAAATATTTGTAATTTCATTTTCTCTGTAGTGAAGAAAACAAGCATTTGTCAGTTGTGGCAGCTTGCTTTGTGGTATGGGATGTGACGGGAAGGTTGGGGTTTTAAGTGTTTCTCTTGACCAATGCAGAAAGATTATGGAGAAATGGAAACAAAGGATGGTTCTTTTTTCCTATTCTTTTTGATGTCACTTGGAATGGTTGAGAGTTACCAAGTGGAATGGCATCCTGCAGGGTACAAGGTACAGTTTATGTGTGTGCAGATAAGACATGGCAAGACCAGAATTTAAGCATTGTGAGTGGAAGAGAGGTCCCCAAAAGAGGGGTCTAAACTCCTTTCCATGGAATAGACACCTTGGGTATTGTATCTGACATTTATCCCTGCAGTGGATCTGGATCACCACTCCCTTCAGTAGGTTGCATAACGTTGCAAGGTTTCTTGAAGGTTTTAGAGGCAGCTGCAATAACAAAGATTGATCCAAGTTAAAGAGCACTGATGTGAACTGACCTGAAATTCAACTTCAACACCATCTTCATCCTGTGTTTAGACAAGAAGCTTCAGCAGTAAAACACATTTGCCTATCGCATCACCCCTGCGGGGGATATGCAGTTCCTGAGGCGGCGTTAACTCTAACCCTTACCTTGTCTCTTCTTCCAGCTTCACGTGGCTGTGTGGCCAGGTTCACCGCAACCTCCTCTCCAAGTTCACGGGCCAGGTTGTGGAGCTCTTTGACGAGGAGTTCCGGCACCTGTACGCGCTGTCCAAGCCCGTGCGGGGCCCCAAGACCCCGCCGCGCAGCCTCCCCTTCCTGTTCAGCCGGAGCTGGGCCCCCCCGCGCAGCCTCCCCTACAGCGACGAGGGAAGCGCCAACACCCTCTCCGACCCCTTCAGCAGCCTCTCCGCTGGGAGCACCCACCAGAGCAAGCAGACCCCAAGAACTCTCATGTTCAACAGCAACTTCAGTCCCCAGTCACCTCTCCAGCGAGTCAATTCCTTCCACAGCTATGTCTCGTTCACCCCCCCGCCTCCACAGAACGCCATCCAGCCTAACTACTATCAGCCACACTACATGGCTGAAAACTCCACAGTTCCCTATAACAACATGAACATTTACAGACCTATAAGGCTCAGGCAAGAGGAACCGAACAGGACAGGGTTAAGCTCATCCTGGAGATGCCTCCACAAAGCTAACCTGTTTGCATAATAACCACCTTGTTTGGAAATCCAAGTAAATGTAGTGAGGACCTGTTTAGCAATCACTTGTGTACTGATGAATATAGAAATTCTGTATAATACAAATGAGGATGATTTCAAGCCTCTTGTTTTGTTGCTTATGGATGCTTCATTTCCCTGATTAAAAAGCCAAGGCTGCTAATGTGTGAACCTCAGGTGCATCAGGATCCCAGGAAGAACACATCTGAATAGTGCTGCTCACAGTGCAACACTGCTGCTGCCTGTCACCTGCCCCTGGCAGCATATTTGTGTACCAGAAGGACAGTAACTGTTTTTCTTATGTCCAGGCAACTGGAATGCAGTTTACTACTATGCATGTTATGCACTTGAATAAGGAGACTGAAGGCTGCTATTTCCGTGGCAGCAGCAGGATACCTTTGTGTTTTCATCAAACCTTAATCTTGATTTATGTGGGACTGTCTTTGGGCTGGCAGGGAAGCACAGGTCCTGCCACAGCACTTAGAGCTCTCTCCTTGAGCTGCACAGCAAGGACAGCTGTTCCCAAGGATTCTTAGGAAGGGGCCTGGTACCCTCGACATGGACTGAGACCGACAGTTGCAGTTGTGGAAGACACATTCACCCCAGTTCACTTCCACTCATCAGCAACACGGGTGTGTTCAGCACACTTGGTTACAAACCTCCAATCCTACCAGCTCAGGGCAACTTTCCTTATGCAGAGCATCTCTGAAGATGCAGGCTGGAAAATGAAGCTGAGTTAAAGAAGCAAAGTCCTACTAGTAACACACCAGGACTGAGTTCCAATTCATTTAATTGCACATGGATCTTTAAAATCCTTTCTGTGTCATCTGATTGAACGTGAAGTTAGAGATACCGCTGAGTTCTTCATGGCCTCTAATTGTTAAAGATAAACTGGGTGTCTGGGGTGCCCATGGACTAGAGTTACAAAGGGAGTTACAGAGGTTCTGCAGCTTGAACCAAACCAGAAAAACTCTCTGCCAAATAATCCATGAAAACTAAGGAAGATTCTGTAAGCAAAAGTAAGAAAATTCATGAAACAAAGGATTTCCATCAAAAGTTATCAAGATGCCTAACAGCTGTTGATTTATCAGTAGATTTTTTTGTTCCACACCTGCTTTGTATTGTTTTTCATATGCCTCCAACAGAAAACAGAACCCTAAATACATTTGCACTTCTGGCCTGTTTTTCCTGACTTCTCACCTGCTCAAAAAGGAATACAATTTAATTATGTAGACTGTGGATGATGATAACTGTATGCAGGTGAAGAAGGTTTCTCATCTTCCTTCATTTTGGAAGCATACCTCTAAAGTTTAAAGAACATTATGAGAGGTACAGGATAGACACATCCTGCTCTAGCTTCAGTATGGGTGTTTTAACCAGTAAAACCAAATTTTGGAGTCCATAATAATAATAATCAACTATTGCATATAATTGTAAATTCTGTACATAGCAACATTTTTTGGATTCCTTGGGGAGAAGGGAAATTTGATTTTCATTCCTATGATAATTCTACTTATTTATCTGAGTATAGCAACCATTCAAATAAAAGAGAATACTTTTTTCTTCATATTCTATTGCCTGTCGTGTACACCTTACTCTGTTCTCTTTCAAAAGCTGAATGAATCCCATGCAGTCAAAGTTCAGATGAAGAAGAAACAGAAAGAAGAAGAAATCAACAGGAACAGAATTAAGGTGTCCAAAGAGACTAATTAAGATTTTCCTTCTAAATATGGTTCATTTCACTGATCCTGTTGTGGCCCAGCTGGGCTGGTACAGAGGGGGATGTGGGTAGAACTTTGTAGACCTTGATTTCCTCAGGCCATGATCTGTGAAGTCCACGAAGGAGCTCTTTTCACCTCTGTGGGGAAAGAGAGTTTGCATGCAAAAGTTTTGGAGAACATAGCTAATGAAAAGGAGGTAAGGGTCAAGGTAGTAATCCAGAAGGACCACTGTGAGTTAATTTCAGCTGGATCAGGAAAACAGCTTGTGTTGGTTCAGACAACATCTGAACTTGAACATTAAGTGGATGAAATTTCAGTTTTGATGGAAAACAGTCAGTTTACAATGTCAGCAATGAGTTATACTAAAAGTCCTAACAGGCCTCCACAACTTAGGGCAACGTTCAGCTGCAGAAACTGTCAGGAAGGCCATGGCAGGTGCTGACCTGCCCTGTCCACCTGCACCAAAGGAAGGGCCCCGATAAGCTCGGCTACCACACCGTGCACCCTCCTCAAGTCTGAGGATGACAGCAAGCTGAGTGCTGCAGGTGAGTCACTTGGAAGGGATGTTGTCCAGAGGGAGCTGGACAGGCTGGAGGCCCACGTGAACCCCAAGTTCAACAAGGCCAAGTGCAAGGTCCTGCACCTGGGCTGGGGCAATCCACAGTATCTGTGCAGAGTATGGGGTGATCGGATTGAGAGCAGCCCAGAGGAGAACCTGGGAATGCTGGATGGTTTATTGGACATGAGCTGTCACTGTGCACACACAGCCCAGAAGGCCAAACGTGCCAGCATCCAAATCCCCATGGGCAGCAGGACCAGGGAGGGGATTCTGCCCCTCTGCTTTGGTCACTCTCCCTGGTGAGTCAGGATCTCATCTGGGCTTTGCTGAGGCCTATTGGATTCCCCTGCTGCCATCCTATTTTGTCCTGTTTTGAAGACGATCTGGGTGGGGCTAAAAAGCTCCAATAAATGTAGCCTATACCAACCTCCAGATTATCTACAAAAGTGAATTTCTAATTAAAAGTTACTTTTTGGGGATGTTTAGACTTTTTTAGATTGGGAGGACCTGTGGAGGGTAGCAGGGGCCTCCAAGAGGTCCCAGCAAAGCCCAGGTGAGGCCTCAGAGCACCCTGGAGGTCAGTTAAGTGCCCATGTGGGCCCCTGCAGAGCCTAAGAAAAGCCCCAGTGCTCTCTGGAGGGCAACTCTGCCATGTCAGAGCACCACTGGTGGTGACAGCGATGAGGACATTCCTGTCAGGGCTGGTTCTGTGCGTGTCCTCGCCACAGGGAGCAGAGAGCAGGCAAGTGCCACTGCCCAGGGGACTGTCAGGCACCAGGAAGGGAGGTTTTGCAGGGCACCAGGAACCCACAGCTGCTCCAGCATTCACACCCTGGCACTAAGATGGATGAATAGGCTGGGCTTGGCCAGGGTTTTCCAAAGTGTCCCCGTGTCCCTTCCCCAGCCAGAACTAGCCCTGCAGGTCGTTCAGCTGGTGTCCTGTGAGCAAGTGCTGCCCATTCAGGTGGTTCGGAATGTGCATCCTGGTGCCTGGACACACAGCTCCCACCGGATCCCACTGGCAATTGCTGCTCACACTGGAGGCACCCAGAGGAGCCTGTGCTCGAGGACATTCCCTGTGCTTGCTGCCTGTGAACCTGGGAGCACTTCACTGATTGTTTCTTCCACAGGCTGCTTCCAGTCACCTGGGACTTCACCTGACTTCCATGACTTCAAGTGTCCTGGAGAATTGCTTGGCAACTACACCAGCCAATTCCCTCAGGACTCTAGGTCCCAGACTCAGGTGTGTTCAGGTTCCTCAGGTGCTCTCGACCCTGATCTTCTCTTACAGTAGGAGGGACTTTGCTTCCCCAGGCCCTGCCTTGAGAGCCATTGACTCAAGAGGCATAAGAGGAGAAGATGCCAGTGAAAACTGAGGCAGAAAATTCATTTAATACCTCAGCCTTCCAGCCTTCTCCATGTCCATTGTTGTCAGTTTGCCAGTTCTTCCACAGGCTGCTTTTTTTTCCTTTTTTTTTTTTTTTTAAACTTTGTGACACAGACAGTTCCCTGGTCTTCCCCTGTTATTCCTCCTAGAAAGCAAAGACCATCCAGGTGTTACTCCTCCCTCAACCATTGCACAGCATACTCCTCCTTTTCCAGGACCCTCACTAGGCCTGCCAACTGCACCTCCATTCCTGGGGAGGTGATAGAGCAACAGATATTGGAAATTATTTCCAGTTTGTCCTGTTCTGGACAAGAAGGTGATGTGGAATTGTGAGCAGGTATGAAGCAATTCTGCCTTACAGTGTATCACATAGGAGGCAGAAAGGTCAACTGACTCCTATCAGAGGGGCCAGTGCTTGGAGGGTCTCCCCTCCAGCATTCCAGCCGCTCATCCTGACACAGAATTACACCCAGCTTGATGGCAGTCCTGAAGTACTGCCCATTCTCTTCTACTTTTCCAGAATTTCTATCACCAGTGAACCCCAATTTACCTTACCTACTGAACCCCTGATGACTGATGCTGTCCCCAGTTTCAGTACCTTCCCAGGGAGTGTGGATCCTGCAAGGACAGTTGGGGGAACTCACCCAGTACTTGCTGTGTCATATGCCATCACCTCACTCACCAGGTGGGGAGAACACAGAGTCCCACCTGGGTTCCTAGATTACTGCCAAAATGGGTTTGCTTGCATTTTTCATCTAGCTTGTGTATGTGTACCAGAAAAAAGGCAGGAGAAGTTGGCACTACCTAAAACTCCTCTGCTACTGCCAGCAATAAAGGTGCCTCTAAGCTGGGAGCACAAGCAGGACTCCATGTCACACCCTTGATTCCTCGTTTTTACAATGACTTCCTGCTGATGAAAAGAGAGAATAAATACATTTTTGTTTTCCTTTGTTTCCTTGTGCAGCCTTTGCTTTTTCTCTATTAAACTATCTTTATTGTGAACCACAGGTCTTTTTTTCTATCCATCTTATTTTCTCCTTCCCTGTGGTGCTGGGGGTACAGCGGACAATAGAGCATTTGGGGTGGGCACCTGGCAGCAGGCCAAGGTCAACCCAGTGACAGGATGACAGGTTTTAATTTGAAAGAGGGTAGATTTAGACTGGACACAAGGAAGTATTTTTTTATGATTAGCGTAGTGAGGCCCTGGAACAGGTTGCCCAGAGAAGTTATGGATGCCCCATCACTGGCAGTATTCAAGCTCAGGTTAGATAGGGCTTTGAGCAACCTGGTTGAATGGAAAGTTCCCTGCCAACCCCCCAGGCAGGAAGGTTGGAACTGGATGACCTTTGAAGTTCCCTTCCAACCCAAGTGAAGGGCGATTCTGTGACAAAAACTGTGTTAACGTTACTAATTACAGCGCTAATGCAGTCCCTCACCTCAAAGCCAGCAGCAAACACTCAACAGCAAGACACATAATGGTGTTTGCAGACAGCAATCATTCCAGGAGCATCAGAACCAGCAGCAGAGGGTCCTTCCCAAAGCACCTGTACCACAGGCAAGCGTTAAAATAACAAAATCAAACCTCAGTAACTGTTAGTGGATTCTCACTTGCAATTTGCAGTGCTAAAATTGGCTGTTTAACTCAGAATGGAGTAGTGATGTATATACTAATACCAACAATAATAGAAAAGCCAAATAATGAAGAAATCTATTACAGGCAGATGTAAAATTATGCAGAAGGTAGAGGCAACAATGAAGCATTCAATGCAAAATGGAAATGCAAAGCCCCTCTAGAGACATGATCAGAAACAGAAAACTGGAGTTAGAAGAGGCACAAAAAAGGGAGAGGCAGGCCAAAAGAGGAAGGAATGAAGTAGCTAAGATGAGAGATAAAAATGGGACAAAGGAACATTTTATAGCCCTAGTGCAATAAACACTGGTTATTTGGTACAGTAACTATCTGACACATTCGGCATTCATCTTCTTTTCTTTGCAGTAGTTAAAATCAACATTTTTGCTTTATTATTATGTTTTAGAAAATACTGCCTGCTATTAAGAGCTACCACTTGTCTTTAATTCCTGGAACCGGTGGAAAGTTAACCTTTGTGTTCCCAGCTTAAGTGACAATGTCAAGTCAA